CTCTCAGCTCCCATGGTGCAGCTGGCCCCCAGGATTTAAAGGTCGCTCTTAATATCATTGGCGGAGCTGAGTGTGCTGTAATCTCGCAGCAGCGCTGAAATCTCCACTCCAGACCTTCAGCTTAATTTGGCAGCAGGTAGGTCAACTGTGCCTGATCTGATGGGGCAGCCTTGGGACTTAGCCACTCTCCCTTGAATCCCTAAATTCCATTCCTAACCCAAATATTTTGCATCTTATTATCTTACTGACCGTAAACACAGCCCAAACCCAGCTTCTCGCTAAAGATATTGAGTCCAAAATGTTCTCAATATTTCACAAGCGCTTGACTTTGTCAAATTATAATTAAAATCTGCATAACATAACATTTACTTTTCAATACTTTTATATTTTCTTCTATTATGGACAGAGTAGCTAGCTGTCAATGTTTCCAGTGTCCCCTGTGTCTATATGATGTGGGTCAGAGAGTAGCTATGTTCTTGTCTCAGAATGCTGAATCCCACTCCAGTTTCTGTCAGGGTGGCTGCCTGGCACAGTCCTTGGAACACTGTTGTCAGTGCTCATCTGTGAGTTGAGTTTACAACAACCCTTTCTATCCCCCTAAGTCTATCACTCATCAAGGCCTTTTTAAACGTGCTTTTCACTGTTTGCTTTGCTTTGTTTTCTCTTTGCCTTTTTCGTACCATTTGTCCCAAGGTTTTAAAGCGGTGGGTCAGTGAAAGTTCTGTCACCACTGAAACAGATTACGTGTGTTTCTGTCAGACGGGGCAAAGCTCAGACATGTCAGATGGTGTTTTGGGCAAAGATGCCACTAGTCGTTACACTAAGTTACAGGAAAGAATACAGAAGCTGTGGCATTAACATTATGGGCCTGATGCACTGTACACTGGAGAGTTCTGTAATACTGGTAAATCAATATGTAATAAAAGATAATTGATTTATGAACAATGAGTATACTGTCTAGATTTTGCTAATGTATAATTACAGTACAGAGGGTCCTTGTATGTCACATGTTGATTCATGCATGCATAGGTACATGCTATTGCTCAGTGAACACATGTACTGGACTGTGTACAAAGGGCTGTCTACGCATTCTACAGAAGCATGCTACAGAGTACATTAATTCAAAATGAATGCGCATGGTTTTTTGTTTTTGGAGAATGTCTTTGTAATTTGATCTAAGTACAGAGAATAGTAATTTTTGGACAAATCGTGTTTGCTTCTAAACTTGGTGTGTATGTGACGATGTGGTATTGGCTGTACTCAGAGGAACATCCATAACGTCCTACAAACTGAAATGACAGTTACATTTGGAAATACTGTCTGCATTTAGTTTGTCAGCTAAATGAGGACAAACCACAGAGAATGTAAACTGTAAAACAAACTGTTTTGCTCATATCCTCACCCACAATGTCTTACAATGAGTAAATACGACTCCCTTCAGAGTATCCGTGCTGTTGCAGTTGCATACAAGTATGATTGCCTGCTAGACCATGCTTTTTGTCCTCGGAGCAAAGAAAGAAACCATAATCAAGAGGAAACATGTTGGAGTTAATTAGAGGTGCTAAAGGAAGAAACCTAGAATGGCACAAGATTTATTTTACAGTCATGACAGAAGCCTCCCTCAGAGCCACACACTAAAGCATATAGAGCTTATTCTTGGCAAATGAATTATGTGCTAATGCCTGTTGGCTCCCTACCCCCAGTGGTAAGGCTCCAAACAACCATGCTATGATTCAAACAGAAAGGCTCCACTTTCTCAAGGGGATTTTTATAATTGTTAGCTATTTATATTTTGAGCACCGTATAATAACAAAGGGTCCCATCTCAGTCATATAAACATACCTAGAATTGAACAAGTTATAATTCTCAGACCTGGACTATGCACTATTTGATCCACATTCTTTAGAAAGAAACAAACATTTGTCCTGATAATTTGAGGCGGTAAAATACCAATAGTTTAGTATTCTTACATATAACTGACAAAAGGTGTTTTTATCAACTTAAATCATTGATCTATTGGGTAAAAAGGGAACTTTTTGTCGATACAGGCTGTCATAAAAAAAGTGTCCCCAGTCCCTAAACTAATCTGCTGTGTTCAAATCTCAAGATGTCCTCCAGATGTTTTTTGGTACACTACAGTACAGTTGGGGACCAAAAAAGGAACATTTCCCAGTACCCCTCAAACGGAATAGTTTGAGTATTGTCCTTGAATTTTTCTTCTATGACTATTATTTCAGACCTTTACATTGGAATACCTATTTTCCAGACTCAGTTTCATGGAACGAGTGCAGTAGCTTTGTTGAAGTTGAATGATAGAGACCAGTGTTGTTGCAAGGTAAAGATATCTTTCCAACATCTCAGAGCCCCCTGAGTTGTGAAACGTGACCCCCAGTTCCCTTGAAAACAGAAGTCAGTTTCAGCAGCTGTGGAAGAGATGGGACTGCTGATGACCCTGTCCCCACACCCTGCTTCACATCCTGTGTTAAATGATGTTTTCCCAGTTCAAAGGTTGGCCTTGACAGTCCTGGAACCAACTAAGAGTTTCCTCATTGCAGTGACAAACAATTATACAGTGTTTACAACAATAGCAGACAACTGCAATGCATGTTATATGATTCATTTATCCTTTCTCAGTGATGCCATGATTTCCTTTCCTAGAATCTATCTAAGCGTTTCTCTGATGGGCAACAGAGTGGGCTATATTTGGAGTCCATGTTGGATAGAGTTGTCTGTCTGTCTGTCTGTATCTCTGCCCTGCTTCTCCCAGGCACGGTGGCATGCTCACATTGTGCATGACGACTCAGTCGGAGCCTGACACCTCTCCCAGGCCCATGCATCTTAATAGTCGTGACATCATTCAGGGCAGCAGGGCTCTCTCCCACCCACTGCCTCAACCTTCCACTAACAGAGTGTTAAGTACCGTTCTGAACATTTTTAAACGCAATTTGTTCTTGGGGTTAAGTGCTGTAAGCTATTGATTGCTCATGTTTTTCTCACATCCTTTCTCATTTCATGGGTGCTCTAAACCTAATAAGACAAGCCCACATGTTCAATGACAGAATGTTTAAAAAGTCATCTATCAAATGAGGGGTTCTATTTGTGGAATACAAGACATGTATAGGATGTCTGAGACAGTTGGTTTTTGAGAAACATGGTAAGTCTATTTGGTGGTTAATGCAATCAGAAAATACTAATGAATTGTGTCTAGGGTTTTGCTTCTCTTGCTCTATCAAACCATTCAAGGTTAGCTTGTCACTTTTCTTTAAAGCCAACATTAGTTTGCTGGGGCCTTTCTCGACTAACGGAGAAGTCTCATTTGGTAGTAGTAGTAAAAGAGAGTTACAGAAAGTACCCTGCATGATAGAGCATGAAATGTGAATGAGACAGGCATGTAATCTAATCAGCTAAGGTCAAGGCTTGTAGGTAGACGAGGCTAAGTTCCATGTTTAATCCCTGCATCAGCCAATAGTCAATGAGATTGCCTTCTCACTGTACTTCTCAAGCTCCTTACCGTAATGAATCTGTTTCCTTTATAATGTCTATTGATTGGCCATACTGTACAGCTGCCAATATATTCAGGGTCTCATTACTGCATTGCCATCAATATAAGCTCCTTTACGCTTTGCCTGTAAAACAAAATAACTCACATTCTCCTTTTATTCTATCTGGCTACTCCATAAGAATGAATTGCTAATCCAAAATGTTTGTCATGAGCCCAGTTTTGTGTGTGTCGTCTAATTGCATCCTTGAAGAATGAAAAACAGAATGTGGGAAAGAAAGAGGGAAATCAGGTTCACAGGCCTCCCATTCTGTGTTGTTGAGCGGTTGGTGATTTGAGCCAGTGGTGTGGTGGGATACCTCTGCTGGAGCAGCGCCACACGCCCCATTCTCACCGGCCCACCGCCATTGTGCCTGGGCTCCACTGAGAGGGGCTTTGATTCTCCTGGAGAGGGACCTTATTAGTCAAACACTCTCCTACATGGCAGCTCATTCATGACTCTTAATGAGAGGGGAATCTGGACCAGTTAATAAGGAGGCCGTCCCTTTAGTGCCTTGTGAGGGGGAGAATGGAGCAGATTTTCTGGAGGTGAAAATACCCACGGAGCAGATCTGAAAATAATCAAACAGGGCAGGGCAGGGCACCAGCTTTCACTGGCATGGAAACCGCCCCCTCGTATATATGGGCTGAAAGAATTATCGAGAACCTGATCCATATTCACACTCCTTGGTCTTTTCTGTCCCAACTTAGAATAGAGAGTGCCAATTGCGCCCTGTTTCTGTGACTAAAGTCCTTGTGAAGCGGAGCTGACAGGAGCAACACAGGGAGCCAGAGATCCTATTGGCCTCCCATGTCCCCCGGCCTCCTCCGCTCCCCTCAGTGGATATTGATTTGAAAGAAAGCCCCTCAGAGATAAGGGCTGCAGGCCATTGTGCCACCCAGTCTCTAATTACAGGGCATGCCGAAAGAGAAAGCTAAGCCCCTGGCATTTGCAGCTTGCCATAATTGCTTCTGGCATAACATGCCTTGCCAAATGTTTGGTACATTTCTTCAGCAAAAAGAAATGAACAAAAACCTCTTTAAGGAGGAGGGGGAGAGAGGGAGGAGGGGGAGGTGGCTAAAAGTGATTATCACATATACCATTTTTGGACTATGCACCGTGCACACCTCCCTCTCTCCACATGTATGATTTCAGCAGTGTTTTGAAAGCCACCACATTCCCTTGGGATCAGATTACTATCACAGCCATGTCTTAGTAGGAGGAGAGACCACTTTTCATCATCCATTTCCTTCCCTGTGTACAGATATAAGCAGCACACACAAAAATAATAGAGCCTTGTTTTTATGTGGTGCTCCAGCTACAGCCTGAGCGGACCTGACCAGTGTGCGGTTTAGAAAATGAACCTGTTGTAAGCAATATATATACAGCTTGGAGTTAAAAAAAGTATTTTCTCAGCACAAGTGGTTAGATGGTATCTTATGAAGCAAATATATATTTCTCATGAATGAACAATCAAGCCGTACATTAATTCTGAGTGGCTGTAATTATTATTTATGTTCCAACGCTGTTTCCTGTCTCATCACAGCCACGTCCAATGGGACCCTGGAGGGTCTAGAGAACAGGGAAGGAGGTGTCTGCAACACCCTCTCCATGAAGATCGTCATGAAAGTGGGCCAGGGTAAGTAAGCGTCTCGATGCGGGCTGGCAGGAATGCCAGAAAAGCAGTAAAAGGCAGTCACAATAGAGCCAGGCAGGATATAACTATGGATGATTGATAATGAAAGCTTTGTATGGGGACTGTCATGACTGCAGTGCAAGAGGAGCGTTTCATGAGCTATTGTTCATAAAGCCAGACACCCCGGGCGTGGGTTTTTACAGTGGGATACTCCACTCCGCTGCTCACAGTGTGTGGCGAGTCGCCCAGTGACTTCATCGCTCATAAAATAAGGGCCTCAGACATCACATTTCACTCCATTCTTTACTTTTCTTTTTTGAGAAGGGAAAGATGAAACAAAGAAAAGCTATTGTGCAAATACAGACAGAGACACACTGAAACACTTTCTCACACATACCAAAAGAACTCACTCACACAATAAGAAAATAAAAGCTGTGGAAAACATTGAGGACATTCCATAGAGCATGCTACAGACTACCTGTTGTCCTGTTACTTAGACTGTCTGTTGGTCTAGCATGAATGAGATTGCTTTGCCTGAAGAGCCCAGGTTTCTCACTGTCACTCTCTTAAATGTAAACTTTGTCTCTCACAGTGTCACAAACTCAAATAAGTGTTGATATTGTTATCCAAATTAGGAAAAGGTTCTACATGGAACCCAAAAGAGTTCTGCTTGGAACCAAAATAGGTTATTTAAAGTGTTCTGCTATGGGGACAGCCAAATAACCCTTTTAGGTTCTAGATAGCACCTTTTTTTCGAAGAGTGTAGCTAGGTCTCTAAAGAGACCTTTGCTTGGCCTGGCGTCATGCTAGGAGTGGCAGGGTCAGTCTTAATCACTGCCCTAGTCCACACATCCAAAACAAACAAACCACAAAGGGAGGGTCTGCCGATAAGAGTCTTATTCTACAGATAGGGGCTGTTACCGTATAGGCTAGGGATTATTTGTATAGCTGACCTTAGATAATAATTATCATAGTTGGCTTGACATTCCTTTTGTCTTTCTCAAGACTTGTTTGCGTAAAGCTGTGTTTAATACACAGGATACCCACTATGTTAGGAGCTAGGAAACAGTAAAAAGATTATAGATGTCATTAACTTTGCTGTCTTGTGTAGGTAGTTACGGTTGGAATTCAACAGTTTATTTCTTTAGGATTTGGAGCAATGACGTTACCGACCCTAGGTCATAGTACATTCATCTGCGTGTTTGCTGAAGGATTGGGTCTTATTTTCAGCCACTGAGTCATAGCAACTCTGTTGCCACAAATATTGTAGACACCGAGAAACGGTTTACAAACAATAAAGTAAGGAGGAAACAGTATCGTCTCTTTGTTTTTATTACACCGACTCATCCAGGGCAACGGTCACTAAAGTATGATTGTAAACAACACACAAAGTAACATGAACAAACATTATATTATTAGAAGAGGATAATACAGTAAGCTATGTACTGTTTTGTTTTAAAAAATGTAACATTCCTATATTTTTCATGGAGAGAACTGCCTTTGTTAACAAAAATGGCAATGATTGGAGACGATCATATTACCAATATCTGGATATGTAACAACAGACTGTGTCAATCTGCTGATGCACTTCCTCATACTGAGTCTCTCTTGTATTACTACACACTGATATTTAATTTATTGATTTGTATATGAACATTGAATTTTATGCAATTATAAGATGACTATTCACCCATGAAATGAGATGGTGTGGCACCGTATGCTGGTTAGTTTAAATGGAGGCTGATGGCTTTGATGGCCTCTCTCTTATCTGCAGCCAAAGCTTTTACAATGTTAGTATAATGAGCAAGAGCAAGGCCTGTGGATGTTTGAAACTCAGCTGAATTGACCACGTTTATATTAATATGGGGTGTGAAATGTCTTTTAGAAAACAAGCTGTCATGTTAAAATGTGTGATATTGTCTTTGGGATGGAGATTCTTTAGTGGTTGTTTACAGACCCATTTGTTGTGCTGCACATTAGAAACCAGCACTCAGCAGTAGCAGACACCACACCACCAACACGTCTGGAACAGTAGTTGTCTTAACTGTAATCAAACAGACAAATTGAGGGTGCAGTTTAGGTTATACATAGCACACTGTAGCAGCAATATGAGCTGGTTTAAAATAATGAATATCAGTAGCTATGCTTTTATAAATACTGTGTTAACAACCAAAGAGACACACAGCATTCCGGTCATAGACCTCCATTAGGGCTCTTAAAAATGCCATTCTAACAATAGAACAATTGGACATTTAGAATATTTTCTACAAACTATTAAAGTAAAATAATTCCAAGATCTCAAAGTTCTCTTGGGAGGAGGGGCAGTAAAACCTCATATGCACACTTCAATGATATTCCAATCAATTAAATCTCCCTTAATGCCAGTGTATCCACTTCTGCATGGCATTGATGGGACTCAGGGGAACCATGAAAAAAGTGACTAATGCATTTTTGGCAGGAGACAAGTTACATTATTTCTTATAGCTTAATTTGGCAAGGTATAGCATATACTGTCATGTATGCCTCACAATTTATATTCGTTGGCTCTAATTATGACATCATGACTTGTCCGTATTTAATATGAAAAGTGTGCCAACGACTACTTTGATGAAATTGGGGTCAAAGGAACTGATAACTATGGCTCCCATTCCAAACTCCATTTCAAATCTTTATTGGAAAATGATACTAAAAGGTTTACACGTTGGAATCTAACTCTGTTGACTTTCTTCATCCAAATTGCAGACCCGAACACAGTTGTACCGGACCCAGTGATAACAGACAAGCCAAGCCAAGAGCATGACAACACTGTGAAGGAGACAACCACCAGCCCAAATAAGAAGAAGGGGGGCAGTGGTGGGGCCGTGGAGCCAGGCAACAAAGGTGAGGATGCTCAGACTTATGGGAAAAGGAATATTTGCCTCAGTATGACCCCTGTTTCCCTGTTTTGTGTTCTAGTCCTCATTATCAGTGTTCAAGATTGGACTGTAACCCTTCAATGCCAAAAGGTCATGGTTTTGCTTCTAATACTGTATCCCACACTTGAAACCTTTGTTAGTGCATTTTCTAAGTACAATGCTTCCCCACGTCCGCCACACACACACACACACACTCTCTCACAGTCCAGAGGAGGCTGGTGGGAGGAGCAATAAATCAAATCGAATCCAACCAAATGTTATTTGTCACATGCGCCGAATACAACACCTTACAGTGAAATGCTTACTTACAAGCCCTTAACCAACAATGCAGTTTTAACAAAAATAAGTGTTAAGTAAAAAATGGATCAGTAAAAAATAAATAATAATAATTTCATAATAATTATTAAAGAGCAGCAGTAAAATAACAGTAGCGAGGCTATATAAAGGAGGTACCGGTACAGAGTCAATGTGGGGGCACAGGTTAGTCGAGGTAATTGAGTTAATATGTAGGTAGAGTTAAAGTGACTATGCATAGATAATAAACAGAGAGTAGCAGCAGTGTAAAAGAGGCAATGCAATGCATAGTCCGGGTAGCCATTTGATTAGCTGTTCAGGAGTCTCATGGCTTGGGGGTAGAAGCTGTTAAGAAGCCTTTTGGACCTAGACTTGGTGCTCCGGAACCGCTTGGTGTGCGGTAGCAGAGAGAACAGTCTATGACTAGGGTGGCTGGAGTCTTTGACAATTATTAGGGCCTTCCTCTGACACCGCCTGGTATAGAGGTCCTGGATGGCAGGAAGCTTGGCCCCAGTGATGTACTGGGCCGTACACACTACCCTCTGTAGTAAATTGCAGTCGGAGGCCGAGCAGTTGCCATAACAGGCAGTGATGCAACCAGTCAGGATGCCCTCAATGGTGCAGCTGAATAACTTTTTGAGGATCTGAGGACCCATGCCAAATCTTTTCAGTCTCTTGAGGAGAAATAGGCTTTGTCGTGCCCTCTTCACGACTGTCTTGGTGTGTTTGGACCATGATAGTTTGTTGGTGATGTGGACACCAAGGAACTTGAAGCTCTCAACCTGCTCCACTACGGTCCTCCTTTTCCTGTAGTCCACAATTATCTCCATTGTCTTGATCACGTTGAGGGAGAGGTTGTTATCCTGGCACCACATGGCCAGGTCTCTGACCTCCTCCCTATAGGCTGTCTCATCGTTGTCGGTGATCAGGCCTACCACTATTGTGTTGTCGGCAAACTTAATGATGGTGTTGGACTCGTGCCTGGCCATGCAGTCATGGGTGAACAGGGAGTACAGGAGGGGACTGAGCACGCACCCCTGAGGGGCCCCCGTGTTGAGGATCAGCGTGGCAGATGTGTTGTTACTTACCCTTATCACATGGGGGCGGCCCGTCAGGAAGTCCAGGATCCAGTTGCAGAGGGAGGTGTTTAGTCCCAGGGTGCGTAGCTTAGTGATGAGCTTTGAGGGCACTATGGTGTTAGGAGGACAAACGTATTGTAAAGACAGGAAACTAATAAATGGAACAGTACCAAACACATCAAACATATGGAAACCACATTTGACCGCTCCATTTATTCCATTCAAGCCATTACAATAAGCCTGTCCTCCTATAGCTCCACCCACCAGCCTCAGTTTCGCACGCATGCACAAACACACACAAAAGTATTATATTTTTCCATTTTGGTTTGAGATACTTTTTAATTATGCTGAGTAGTATTGTGGATAGATAGACACAGTGTTCAAGTGTGGAAATGAAAAATTAAAACCATATCTGCTCGGCTGAGATCTAGCCGCAGATAAGATTATCAGGGACTATTAAATCCATCAGCAGGGTTTCTGCACATTAGATATACAGTGGCTTGTGAAAGTATTCGCCCCCTTGGCATTTTTCCTATTTTTTTTGCCTTACAACCTGGAATTAAAATGGATTTTTTGGGGGTTTGTATCATTTGATTTACACAACATGCCTACCACTTTGAAGATACACATTTTTTTTCTTGTGAAACAAACAAGAAATTAGACAAACAAAACATTGTCCTGCTGGAAGGTGAACCTCCGTCCCAGTCTCAAATCTCTGGAAGATTGAAACAGGTTTCCCTCAAGAATTTCCCTGTATTTAGCGCCATCCATCATTCCTTCAATTCTGACCAGTTTCCCAGTCCCTGCCGATGGAAAAACATCCTCACAGCATGATGCTGCCACCACCATGCTTCACTGTGGGGATGGTATTCTCGGGGTGATGAGAGGTGTTTGGTTTGCGCCAGACATAGCGTTTTCCTTGATGGACAAAAAGCTGTGTTTGCTTATTTCTTTCTTTAAGCAATGGCTTTTTTCTGGCCACTCTTCCGTAAAGCCTAGCTCTGTGGAGTGTACGGCTTAAAGTGGTCCTATGGACAGATACTCCAATCTCCGCTGTGGAGCTTTGCAGCTCCTTCAGGGTTATCTTTGGTCTCTTTGTTGCCTCTCTGATTAATGCCCTCCTTGCCTGGTCCGTGAGTTTTGGTGGGCGGCCCTCTCTTGGCAGGTTTGTTGTGGTGCCATATGGTGCTCCGTATGATGTTCAAAGTTTCGTATATTTTTTTACAACCCAACCCTGATCTGTACTTCTCCACAACTTTGTCCCTGACCTGTTTGGAGAGCTCCATGGTCTTCACGGTGCCACTTGCTTGGTGGTGCCCCTTGCTTAGTGGTGTTGCAGACTCTGGGGCCTTTCAGAACAGGTGTATATATACTGAGATCATGTGACAGATCATGTGACACTTAGATTGCACACAGGTGGACTTTATTTAACTAATTATGTGACTTCTGAAGGTAATTGGTTATACCATATCTTATTTAGGGTCTTCATAGCAAAGGGGGTGAATACATATGCACGCACCACTTTTCCATTATTTATTTTTTATTAAAGAGAATTACAAGTAATTTTTTTCACTTCACCAATTTGGACTATTTTGTGTATGTCTATTACATGAAATCCAAATAAAAATCCATTTAAATTACAGGTTGTAATGCAACAAAATAGGGAAAACGCCAAGGGGGATGAATACTTTTGCAAGGCACTGTATCCATTTGTATTTGTTTTGCTATGGTTTCAGTCACCAGAACAGTATTTTTTCACAGGGAGGCAGAAAATGCTGAAGTTTACATAGGTTTAGAAAGTGATTTGGGCCCTAGAGTTCTGGCTCTGCTGCAGGACAAATAAAATGGCCTTCCCTCTCATCCTGGAAAGCTGCCAGGTCTCACATAGTAGGGTTTTCTTTCAATGTGAAGGTTTGGCAGTCATCTTTCTTGAGAGCTTTTATCAAGCTGCTTCTTCTGCCAATCATTCAATCGATGGAAAGATACAATGTTGTTTTGCCTCTGTAATACAAAGAGGTAATACCTCTTTTTAATTTGTATGCACATTTTTTCCTGAGGTCTTTGGAAGCAGAAAAGGTGTGAGGAAAGCACATTATAATAACACGTACAGTCATTCATGCTCAGCATCTAAATTAAACTGGGTAGAGAGATAGCCAGAATAGATTTCTATAAATTATTCAGAACATTCTGAAGTGTTGGCATGGGTCTACAGTTAGGTGCAAATGTGAAAATTAGTTCACCCAGAAGTCATTTGAATAATTCTAGTGTTTCAGAATCGTTCAGGTGATCTTGAGGAAAGCTAATGTTCTGTGTCACGATAACGTCCTCTCACTCATTAACCGACAGGAAGTCTTGACTTCATTAATATGAGCGAGAACAAACTAGTCTTTTTTCACACATACAGTGAGGGGAAAAAAGTATTTGATCCCCTGCTGATTTTGTACGTTTGCCCACTGACAAAGACATGATCAGTCTATAATTTTAATGGTAGGTTTATTTGAACAGTGAGAGACAGAATAACAACAAAAAAATCCAGAAAAACGCATGTCAAAAATGTTATAAATTGATTTGCATTTTAATGAGGGAAATAAGTATTTGACCCCTCTGCAAAACATGACTTAGTACTTGGTGGCAAAACCCTTGTTGACAATCACAGAGGTCAGACGTTTCTTGAAGTTGGCCACCAGGTTTGCACACATCTCAGGAGGGATTTTGTTCCACTCCTCTTTGCAGATTTCGAGGCTGACGTTTGGCAACTCGAACCTTCAGCTCCCTCCACAGATTTTCAATGGGATTAAGGTCTGGAGACTGGCTAGGCCACTCCAGTACCTTGTGCTTCTTCTTGAGCCACTCCTTTGTTGCCTTGGCCGTGTGTTTTGGGTCATTGTCATGCTGGAATACCCATCCACGACCCATTTTCAATGTCCTGGCTGAGGGAAGAGATTTGACGGTACATGGCCCCGTCCATCGTCCCTTTGATGCGGTGAATTTGTCCTATCCCCTTAGCAGAAAAACACCCCCAAAGCATAATGTTTCCACCTCCATGCTTGACGGTGGGGATGGTGTTCTTGGGGTCATAGGCAGCATTCCTCCTCCTCCAAACACGGCGAGTTGAGTTGATGCCAAAGAGCTCCATTTTGGTCTCATCTGACCACAACACTTTCACCCAGTTCTCCTCTGAATCATTCAGATGTTCATTGGCAAACTTCAGACGGCCCTGTATATGTGCTTTCTTGAGCAGGGGGACCTTGCGGGCGCTGCAGGATTTCAGTCCTTCACGGCGTAATGTGTTACCAATTGTTTTCTTGGTGACTATGGTCCCAGCTGCCTTGAGATCATTGACAAGATCCTCCCGTGTAGTTCTGGGCTGATTCCTCACCGTTCTCATGATCATTGCAACTCCACGAGGTGAGATCTTGCATGGAGCCCTAGGCCGAGGGAGATTGACAGTACTTTTGTGTTTCTTCCATTTGCGAATAATCGCACCAACTATAGTCACCTTCTCACCTAGCTGCTTGGCGATGGTCTTGTAGCCCATTCCAGCCTTGTGTAGGTCTACAATCTTGTTCCTGAGATCCTTGAAGCACTCTTTGGTCTTGGCCATGGTGGAGAGTTTGGAATCTGATTGATTGATTGCTTCTGTGGACAGGTGTCTTTTATACAGGTAACAAGCTGAGATTAGGAGCACTCCCTTTAAGAGTGTGCTCCTAATCTCAGCTCGTTACCTGTATAAAAGACACCTGGGAGCCAGAAATCTTTCTGATTGAGAGGGGGTCAAATACTTATTTCCCTCATTAAAATGCAAATCAATTTATATCATTTTTGACATGCGTTTTTCTGGATTTTGTTGTTGTTATTCTGTCTCTCACTGTTCAAATAAACCTACCATTAAAATTATAGACTGATCATTTCTTTGTCAGTGGGCAAACGTACAAAATCAGCAGGGGATCAAATACTTTTTTCCCTCACTGTATTCTTGACAAGCTGGAAAATAAAAGGGACTGACAGACACTGATCAGCTCCATTGCCTTCAACACACATTGGGCTCTATGGTCTCATGTAAGATCAATAGTCAACTGTTTTCCATTTGTCAACTTTGAAATGGGTTTTTGTTCCCCTTTCATCAGGGTCATCTTACCCTGCAAAATGAAAGAAAATAATAATAAGAGCTGAGAATAATTCCTGTGGTGATTTGGTAATATTAGGGGTCACTGTGGAATCCATTCCTCTACCCCCAGTGTAAACGCAGCTAGCAGCCTCTGGTTTGACAATGCAGCAGCAGCAATGGGCAGGCAGTCAGATAGCGGTGGAAGCTGTGCTCCCAGGCAGGCAGCGCTGGGATGCAGTGGATTATACATAGTGAAGGGAGGGAGGCTTCAGGACCACACAGGAAATAGGCATGCCACTCTAATTGGACTCAGTTCTCATCCTCTGTGTCTAATAAGGGACTGGTGTTGTTTTCTTTTCCCTCACAGCCAGTTATATACGTTTAAACAGTTTCTCTTCCTTTACCCCCTCATGTGGAGTTTAAACATATGGCTAAACATACACAGTTTAATCTGCCCCTCGCTCTCAGGATGCATGCCAAGAAGAAATTAGCTATCATCTGTGGAAAACTGACACCCCCACACGCTCACAAAGGCCACACAGTCAGGAAGCCCCTAGCTACTCAGTCAATTCAGAAGAATAATGGAAGGAGCCTTTTTCTCATTGAGAACCCATTTGCACCCTCGCAGGGTTCAACCTCTATCCTGATCAGCAACAGTACAGCTTTATCTGACTTGGCTGCCAAGCAGACCACCGCTCGTTCATTCCCTGCTGTTAACTGATTCCTTTATTTTTCCATCCACAGACACCATGAACCAGGACAACAAGTCCAACTCAGCAGAGGGTATTTTTGCCTCCAAGCCAGCGCTGTTTGCTGCCATCGGGGCGGGATGCGTCATCTTCTTGCTGATCATCATCATCCTCATCGTCCTGCTGATCAAGCTGAGGAAGAGGAACCGCAAGCACACCCAGCAGCGGACCACCGCTCTGTCACTCAGCACGCTGGCCAGCCCCAAGTGCTCTGGGAACGCTGGCTCGGAACCCAGTGACATCATCATCCCGCTACGGACTACAGAAAACAACTACTGCCCCCATTACGAGAAGGTGAGCGGGGACTACGGCCATCCAGTTTATATAGTCCAGGAGATGCCCCCGCAAAGCCCAGCCAACATCTACTACAAGGTCTAAGGCAAAGACTATCTTTAGGATGTTTGCTTGTAGGGGAAAATTCTGGCCTACCTTTTACTACCTTGTCCATCTGATGTTCAAAAACACTTTTGATGTTCATGGACACGGTAGTTGAATAATTTTGTATGTTTCCGGATAGGCCAGGTTTGTGTCGTCTTCTTCTCTTCCTGCTTCTTGCTAGAAATTTGACATTTGAATTTTGCTATACTGTGTGTCTGAGAGGACTGTAAGATGGTCAAGCCTATCGAGTAGAGAAGCCTTTGCATTGACAATGGAGACTAGTTGCAAACAGGGTATACTACACAAACAAAGGACCCTGCAATAGGGCTGTCACTCATGGGCTCCATTCCTGTAATGAAGCCTCCATGGTTTGCTCAGAGACAGAAAAAGGCACAGTGTGATGATATAGCATAACACACTTCCCTTTCACAAAATGTTTTACCTGCACTATTCTTTTCTATGAGTCACCTACAGCAGCTCCCTTTTCACCAATGCCTGCTCCTTCAACGTTGTGTTTCTTTTCTACTGAATGTCTAGATACTATATTATGGTAAATATTAATATTTTTCATGTCCTTTACTGATACTTTGCCACATGTAGGGGGATCTGTGTCGTTCATGGCTATTTTGAGGTTGTCCACTCTTTCTCTTATATATATATAAAAAATACTTACATTTATCAATCTCGGTGACATAATTGTGTTAAATAAGTATCTCCTCTTCTACTTCTCTAAGCGTGTCTGAACAGGCAAAGTCAGGTATGCAACTGTGGGGGGGGGGGGGGGGACGAGCAACGAACTTGCCTCACCCTGGATATAAATTAATGAAAGACAAATAGCTCATACTCTATCATGGTGAGAGGCCGTCATGACTGAAATCAATTTAAAGAAAACATAAAGGTTGTTTCAAATTGACAGGTCACTTCTGTGTCTGAACAGCCTCGAGGCTTTTCACTCTTCTTAAATTAGACCTGAGTTTTCCCTTCAGTGAAAAAGAATAACAAGATCAAATTTGTATGAGCAGAAAAAAGTGTGGGCGCAATTAAGATGTTATCAAACCTTTCGCTCCCACCTAAAGGTCATGCTCTCAGAAGAATTGGATGGCTTCGGAGGGAATGATTTGTGTTCAACGAATGGTTTGACATTTGTAGTGTTAGTTCTGCACCGGAGACAATGGAATAGATAGGGATGTTGCTAAGGATCATTTTATTGTTTGCCACATTCACTTTTGAGTCTGAATTCATTCATAGTCACATACTGTAGACATGGTGCCTGGATCAGTCATGTGCTCAGAATGAGAAGTGAGTGCAGGTAATGTCAATCATGTGTGTTGTGCATCTCCATAAAAGCTAGTTTCAGGAGAATAAATGATAATGGCAAGAGTTTGGCTCCAGTCCCTATTCTCCTCAGCTGTGTGATGATGGGAAAACCAAACCTTTCAAAATCACTTAGGCACAGAGTATACACTTAAAGTAACTGATGATTCGACATTACAAATTGTTGTACAAACGTAATTGCAATACAGTGAATACATGAAAAGGCTTTTTTAATTCCTTAAGAGTTTTACCATTGTTACCACCGCAACGGGGTAGCGCTTAAATATCTCTGGTGTCTTCAGGAGGACGACTAATGACTTACAATTCCTATCACATGGCAACCTCAAAGAACAGGGAAGATTACACCAGTACCAAATAGTTTTCAACATGAATCTTTACACATACAGTATTTTCTGTTTCAATATCTTATCTCCATGTTCTGAAGTTGGTCCCATTGTTTAGTCGTGTGTTTATTTTGAAAGAAGATAGATACTGTCATGTATTTACAGTAGAGGTTACTCTGGCATATTTTTCATGTTGATAACATTGAGATTATTTTAAATTATTAAGAAGTTTAGCAGCAAGAGCAGGACATGTGCCACCAGTTTGTTTGCATTGTTTCATATAAGAGAGAGCAGATTCACTGTCATTTAGACGGGTGTGACTGTAGACCAGCGGAGGCTGCTGAGGGGAGGACAGCTCATAATAATGGCTGGAAGGGAGCAAATGGAATGGCATCAAACACATGGAAACCATGTGTATTTGATACCATTCCACTATCCCGCTCCAGCCATTACCACGAGCCTGTCCTCCCCAATTAAGGTGCCACCAACCTCCTGTGCTGTAGACAGACATATTTGTTTGCTTTGAGGGCTGTATAACAAAAACATATTTTTTCCCCAGTCTGAATTTATGTTGATACATTCACATTTGTTTGGCTTAAAAAGGGCCTAGAAAAAATGTACGATTGCCTTCCCAGTGTCTTGTACATTGTCACATACATTGCAAAAATATATGTCTACAACATATGCAAAAATGACTGTAACCATGATTTGGCATTACATTAAAAAAAAAATATTTTGTACAATACTGTAGCTACGTTTTATCGAGGGCGCAACTCAATAAGTGTTGAAAAAATAAACCTCAAATGAAGTCAGTGAAAAACAGAATACAAATTCTTTAGATATTGAACAAACATTGTGTTATTGTTGTGTGTGGTTTGTCATTGGGTAAAGGTATTGTTGAATACACAAAGATAATCTTCACAATGTTGAAGGATAATGTCTCCACCACTGTATGGTCTTCAATTAACACTAGCACAACACCCTGTGGTCCTAGAAGTGACATCCCTTTACTGCTTGTTTATTATTGTTTGGTTAGTTCAGTGGCCTAAGATAATGTAAATATGTGAAAAAATGCAATTTAAAAGTTACATTTAATAGAGCCCCATTTATGAACGTATAATTCTTTTTTTTTAATGCAGAATTTTGTAAATAGGTGTCTTTTTGGAAATACATTTTGTATAAATCTTGATTTTTTTTTATAGACAATAATAGATGACACAAATCTCTTAGAGCCGGTGTTTAAGTACCAGGCATTGCAAGGAGAGTAGAAAATCGTATCATGGTTGACTACATACATTCAGCATTAGAGATTCCCCCCTCCCCTCAGTTTCATTCTAGCTGTCCCAGACTGTTTGTTTGTGGGTGCTGGATTGGGAACCTAGAGAAGAGCTAGACACTACTATACAGTGGGGGAAAAAAGTATTTAGTCAGCCACCAATTGTGCAAGTTCTCCCACTTAAAAAGATGAGAGAGGCCTGTCATTTTCATCATAGGTACACGTCAACTATGACAGACAAAATGGGATTTTTTTTCTCCAGAAAATCACATTGTAGGATTTTTTATGAATTTATTTGCAAATTATGGTGGAAAATAAGTATTTGGTCACCTACAAACAAGCAAGATTTCTGGCTCTCACAGACCTGTAACTTCTTCTTTAAGAGGCTCCTCTGTCCTCCACTCGTTACCTGTATTAATGGCACCTGTTTGAACTTGTTATCAGTATAAAAGACACCTGTCCACAACCTCAAACAGTCACACTCCAAACTCCACTATGGCCAAGACCAAAGAGCTGTCAAAGGACACCAGAAACAAAATTGTAGACCTGCACCAGGCTGGGAAGACTGAATCTGCAATAGGTAAGCAGCTTGGTTTGAAGAAATCAACTGTGGGAGCAATTATTAGGAAATGGAAGACATACAAGACCACTGATAATCTCCCTCGATCTGGGGCTCCACGCAAGATCTCACCCTGTGGGGTCAAAATGATCACAAGAACGGTGAGCAAAAATCCCAGAACCACACGGGGGGACCTAGTGAATGACCTGCAGAGAGCTGGGACCAAAGTAACAAAGCCTACCATCAGTAACACACTACGCCGCCAGGGACTCAAATCCTGCAGTGCCAGACGTGTCCCCCTGCTTAAGCCAGTACATGTCCAGGCCCGTCTGAAGTTTGCTAGAGTGCATTTGGATGATCCAGAAGAGGACTGGGAGAATGTCATATGGTCAGATGAAACCAAAATATAATTTTTTTGTAAAAACTCAACTCGTCGTGTTTGGAGGACAAAGAACGCTGAGTTGCATCCAAAGAACACCATACCTACTGTGAAGCATGGGGGTGGAAACATCATGCTTTGGGGCTGTTTTTCTGCAAAGGGACCAAGACGACTGATCCGTGTAAAGGAAAGAATGAATGGGGCCATGTATCATGAGATTTTGAGTGAAAACCTTCCATCAGCAAGGGCATTGAAGATGAAACGTGGCTGGGTCTTTCAGCATGACAATGATCCCAAACACACCGCCCAGGCAACGAAGGAGTGGCTTTGTAAGAAGCATTTCAAGGTCCTGGAGTGGCCTAGCCAGTCTCCAGATCTCAACCCCATAGAAAATCTTTGGAGGGAGTTGAAAGTCTGTGTTGCCCAGCGACAGCCCCAAAACATCACTGCTCTAGAGGAGATCTGCATGGAGGAATGGGCCAAAATACCAGCAACAGTGTATGAAAACCTTGTGAAGACTTACAGAAAACGTCTGACCTGTGTCATTGCCAACAAAGGGTATATAGCAAAGTATTGAGAAACTTTTGTTATTGACCAAATACTTATTTTCCACCATAATTTGCAAATAAATTCATTAAAAATCCTACAATGTGATTTTCTGGAAAAAAAATCTCATTTTGTCTGTCATAGTTGACGTGTACCTATGATGAAAATTACAGGCCTCTCTCATCTTTTTAAGTGGGAGAACTTGCACAATTGGTGGCTGACTAAATACTTTTTTCCCCACTGTACATGTCATTGATTTTCTCTGTGACAGTCACCCCTTGAAATCAATGCAACTGTTAGTGAACTTAAAACAGGGGAGGGTGAGCAACCAGTTAAATACCTGATGCCTTGATGTTTTGATCAAGATGAGTCTGAGTATAATAAAATACTCCATAGATAAATAATTAACCCATGCTGATTTAAAATAGTCAGATGGGCAGAACATTATTCCGGGCATCTGTTTGGCAGTATATTATGCTGATCAAGTTTACCTAAACTCTGTATGTTCTCACAGACCAAGGATATAGTCATTCCATCTCTAGTCGTGAGAGTCCAAGGGGGAGCAGCGTGCTCGGAGCTCTG